TAAATCAAATATTCCCACTGCATCATCTTAAGAAATTATTCGGGAAGTAGAAAAATATTCTATTTATTTTGTATGAAAATAAAGCCCTGAATGACTGAAAGAGGCTTTCAAAAGATCCCTATATTTATTCCAGGGATTGGAAACACAGATGTTAGAGAAAGTACACAGGTAAAGAAAAACAAGCTATACACAAGAGAAAAAGAAAGGAGACCATGATGAACCAAATAAGACACGGAGCAACTCAAGGGAAACATTCGACATGGCTCAGCCACTTGTCTTAAAAAATGTCAATTGTTAATTTTTCAATTTTTTTTATAAAGCCAGAAAAACTGGTTACATTTTTCTCCTAATTTCTAAATATTGCTTTTACTCTTATTTTTCAAGCTAGCCAGAAAAAAAAAAAAAACACATATCAACTGACTGAATATGGCCTGAAACATGCCAGTTAGACCTTCCAATACCCTCATTCAAAAAGCATTATCAAACCCTGACCACTAAAGATACTGGTCAATCTCCTCTGTTTAAATTTCCTGTTTAGGAAATATAAACTGATTTCAAAAATCTACATCACATTTAATAAAATATTTTAGAATATCCTTATGAGGCTTAATTGGTATAAATTCTGCTACAATTCAGCCCATTTTCTTTCAGACATTTCTGTGTTAACATTTTCAGACATAACACAATCTAATTGTGCTAGAAAGCACAGGACTATAAATACTCTAGGAATAATAAAGCTTTGTCTTGGATTATAATAAATACCACTCCACTTATTTCTATTTTAATTGAAGTCTATTCATGTTCATTGCTCATTCTAAATTTTTCTAGTAACTGGGTTTATTATAGTTTCTTAAAGGATGAGAACTAAACAATGAATAAAATAAAAATAAATATATATATTTATTATAATAATAAATATATTATTATACTTCTAGAAATCTCTAAATCAATTTTACCTCAGGTTTAAGTTCCAAAATGTATACTGATCGATCAATCTTGCAAACTTAGGTAAAAAATATGATCTTGCTAAACTATAGTCACAATACTTAGTGATAATGATGATTCTAATGTTAAAACATTTGTTTACTACATAGAGTTCTCTTATACCTTGACATTTTTTTCTTACCCAATATATTAAAAATATGTTTTATTAACCTTGTTACTTTAAAAGTAATTTAATGAGAAAAAAAATAAAATTGGGATTTCTAAGACACTATTGCTAAATCAATGCAAAATATGTTTTTCTAAATATTCTTCCAGGCCTGGGAGTAGCAGAAGGCCCTGAGTCGAATCCACAGTATTAAAAAAAAAAAAAGAAAAAGAAAAAAAATCCTCAAACAGGGACTCTTAAACCTATGAGGACAGCTATTTGCTAATAAGAAAAGGTACGTGGATGTAACATAACAGAAAAAGCTCAATTAAAATACACAGCAATATGCATGGTCATTTTCTCAAATGATAAATATGAAATCTTTCATATTTATCTAGGAAAGGATCACCAAGTTGGGTAAAATAACATTTAATTTTCCATTCTTTCTTCTTTAACCTTATTAATATAGATTTGTCCATGATGAATTTCTGACATGTTCAGAAAATAGATATTAAAATACGCAGATACAGAGATCACTATTAAACATAAGATCATAAATCATCTAATTAGTACAAGGTTGTTTCATGAATCACTCTTCTAGCTGTTTAAACAAGAAAGGTATATTTCAAACAGCTATAAAAAATTACCACTAATGATGTCTTAAAAAGGTGTTTTATTAGTGAAAGTTGTGAATTACAATGCTGATATTGGGAATGCTTGTAATATATTATATTTTGGAATCACAGGATTAGAAGACAAACTTAATCTTATGTATAATCAGGATACCAAAGACTATATAATAGAAAGAATGAGTATTTCACATCTCCTACAACATTTTAGGCACAAGTTTCTGACTCATGATAGTTACTAGAAATGCATTAACTATAGAAGCACACATATAATCCTTGATAATTTTTCTACATAGGTATGTAATTTAAAGTATAAAGGGTTTTTTTGAAGTTATCACTTAAGCACAATAAAGTTCACTAATTAAAAAGTTTCTGGCAAATTTTCCTGTAAAACAAAGAAAAAAAAGCACAATTCAATAAATATGATTGTATTCCTCCCAAATCAAATCAAAAATTATATCAGATGAGAAGGCTACAAAAGTAATCCTCTGCATTAGGGACTATTAGAATCATTAGAGTGTGTAGGTATTTTTAAAAACAACAAAGCACCATTATTCTCAATGAAGTGCAAATTAACTATGCTCTAACTCTGTACTCTCAATCCTGATTGAATATTAGAAATATCTACAGGGTGTTTGTTTTTTCTTTAAAAAAAAAAAAAAAAAGTCCAGGCTCTTCCACTCCCCTTTTCTTGCCGAGACCCCAAGGGGATTTTGATTCATTTGTGATAATGCTCAAGTGTCAGTGTTGTTTTGTTTTGTTTTGTTTTAAGTGGCCCCCAGCTGATTCTGGTGCATCCAGATTTAAAACCAGTGCTGTTTGTTTTTTAGGGGGCCAGTCTGAGTGTAAAAATTGACACAACACATACATACACAAAGAAAAAAGTGCACTCACTTTTTTTCCCTTCCCACAGATCTCAAATATCTGCTGCCATTTTTAAAAGAAAAGAAGAAAAGTTTGGATTTTTTAAAGAATGTGTATTGTTCAAGTAGAAAAAAAATACAGAAAGCAGAGCTAGGTTAGCAGTCCCCTGAGACAAATCCTAACTAGGGCTGCACTAGTTTCTCCCCAAATTACTGCATTTATCCTATTTTGTTATACTACCTGAAATTACATCATTGGTTGACCCAATTAACTTTAAAACAATCTGATTACAAAAATACTAAAAGCCCAGAAATTTCAGCTTCCCCTGTAAGCCTATTTAATGAGATTATTTTTCTTGCTAATAATAAGACATCACATGGACTTAAGAAATCAATATTCTGATAGTGGAGATGGAAAGAAAAATTCTGACATATGACCTTGAAAATAAGATATACCTTGACTCAAGAACATTAAGCATTCAAGTAGACTTAGGTTTTTGAAAAGAAAAATAGAAATACAAGCCCCTGAAATAACTGATCTACAAGATGCCATCCAATTTTGAGATTGTAAGATTCTACAATGAGGTCAAGGGCATCATCCTCTGTTCTTTGCCTGCATAAGAGAGTTCCTTCCTCCTAAGACACAGATCTCAGGCCAACGTCATTAACACATTCTGATTTTTACTATCTTTACTTTTAATATCACAGTCTACTTTTAAGTTTATAAATTTTACTTTTAAAACTCCAAACAAGCTATAATTTAGAGTCTGCCTGGATCTTTTCAGGCATGCCACAAATAAATCCCTTAACTATTAACTGTTTCATTCAGAAAGTATTTATTTAATCTAACAAACTGTTGAAGAAAAGTAAATTACAAAAGTCATTAGACCTCTTAGAGCACCTGCAATGATTCAATTCTAATTTGAAAAAAAAATTTTTAAATTGATACAGCTAAAGCAATATGTAAAGGCAAGTGTGTAGCCTTAAATGTTTACACTAAAAAAAGAACAAAACTACAAATTAATGAGCTAAGGATTCATTGCAATAAAAGGTTAAAAGATTTCTCAAGAAAAAAACGAAGAGCTAAAATTAGGAAAGCAAAAAATAAACACATGATAGGAGAGGGAAGCTGATTCTTTGAGAAGACTACAAAATTAATAAACCTCTACTATGTATGACAAATCAAGAGCAAAGGAAGAAAGGCACCAATGAAAAACAATTAAAAGGGGAATTAACTACATATACTGAAAATATTAAAAGGTAACATCATATGGATGAAAACCTTCATGTACATGAGCTTGAATATCTATTGAAATGAACAAATTTCAATAATATCATCCTAGAAAAGACTGACTTAGTAAAACATGGATTTTTAAAACAAATACATGTGAGCTCAAAACCAGAAATAAACCCAAAATTTAATGCCTGACGTGCATTTGTGTGAGGTAAAATATTATTACATTAACTTACAAACATTAATAACCCAACTTGTATTTGAGAGAGCTCCAATTTTTCTACATCCCATTGTCTACATTGATTTATTAATCAAGAGATAACCAATTAAAGCTGAGGGAAGCTGAGGCAGCTGAGGATCACAAATGCATGGCCAGCTTGGGCAATTTAGCAAGACCCTGTCTCAAAAGAATAAAGGGTGGGGGGGCTAAGGATGTAACTCAGTAGAACACTTGTCTAGCATGCATGCGGCCCTGGGTTCAATCCCCAGTACTGCCAAATAATACTTATAACAACAACAAAGGCACTTGGAGGCAGATTTTTAAATTGAGAGGTTTAACGGAAATTATATGAGAGAAAACACAGATCTCTAAAAATGTTCAAGATCTTAAAATCTTTTCAGTTTTTAAAAGTCTTTCAAGACCTACAGCAAATGCACAAATTTTGTCTACTGCTTCCAAAGGCAGAACCCTCTACCCCTTCAATGGCATTTTTAATCCTGACATGCACCACAGGCATTTCCATGTGTGCCCTCCTCTTTCTATACCAGAGAAAGCTACCTTCCATCAGTAAGTATTCCCTTGCAGTGCTCAGAGTGGTTAATAGGTCAAAGCACTGGAATAACAGATCAGCAAGGCAAAAGGATCTCGGGGATCACTGCTTTTAAGTATAGTGACAGGAACCCCTTGAAATAGAACTGTTCTTAAAAGAATAATTTTCAATTAACGTTACGGTGTGGCTCAGGAGAGAAAATGAAAAATTAGGATATATTGGTTGTGGCATTAAAAACATAGAGGAGGAAGAGGTTTTAGGAAATTAGTAAATAAGAAATGATAAATTCGGCAACCGGTCAAATAAAAACTACTTAAACAATTATAATCAAATGAATATTCTTTCACTATTTATCGTAACCTTTTCCGGGTCAATCAATGGTTTATTTACTTAAAAACTTGAAAGCAATTTTACTTGTGAAAATTTTCATCAGTTTCCTCCAGACGTAAGAGGATTTCCTCGGCGCCCTCCGGGGAGGGCGCGCCCGTGATTTTCTCCTTCACGCTCTGGAACAACTGCCTCAGCATCGCCTGCAACATAGCCTCGTCCTCGCAGGAGAAGTAGGCCATCCTCTGTAGGAAATCAAAAGTGCATTCCCATTACTCCGGGTTCAAGCAAACGCATGCATGACGCACGCGCGCCCCCACCCAATCCCGGCCTAGCGCACCGTCGTTGCCTAGGAGACCGCGGCGAGCGCATGGGGGTGGTCCCTCCACCAGGCGTTGTCCCATACGAGTCACCTTACTCTGCAGAGGCTGGGGTTTGCGAGGCCCTCCTCAGACTCTCGTCGTGGCTAGGCTTCAGTACCGGCGGAGCTCAGCCTCCCCGAACGAACAGCAGCAAAGACACGCAAGCAGGCTCTCACTGGAGGGCCTGACGGAGGAACGCCAGCGCTGCGCGTGACGTCAGGTCGTTGACGTAGCTTCCTTGGTGAGGGAAGGAAGGGTTGATTTGGGCTGCGCGTCTTCTCAGTAAGCTGGTCGTCGTGGGCGAGAGGAAAAAGAGTAGAAGAGCTTTTGGTCGGTGAAAGAAAAATAATAGAAGTGAAACTGAAAGTAGCCTGGAAATTTTAGGTCGAAAAGGGAATGAATGGTGTTGAAATGTTGCTGTGCAGTTTTATTACAGCACTTAAAACCTGTTGAGCTCCTACCCCGTACGAAAGTATGTGGTTTAGGAAATACAGAGAAGACAGCGCCTTCATAATTTAACAGAAGAGATTAAAGATTGCCATACAATAAAAGTCGATGTCATGCTGTAGAAATAACGCCATGTAGTTACTGTGGAAACCCAGAATTAGGTTTTAACTCGGCAAAGAAGTTGAGGAAAGAAAGGAAGAGAGAAAAAATTGGACTTGGAATGTAGAGTGGCCTCAGAGTGTGTGGTATTCAGGTATCTGAATTAATAGAGTCAGAAAGGAACTGAGGCTACAGGAGTAAATTGTCCACGTCTAAAAGGGTTATATTTGACAAGTTAAAGTATCAGGAGTTTATCCTGCAAGTAGTAGGACACAATTGGATTCTAGAGAGACACCAAGAGATAACATTTATAAAGAACACTTCAGAAAGCTTCCTCCTAAGGGAGAATAACACTGTTCAAATTGAGAATTGGTAAAGGATATGCCTTAGGAAGAAGGAAAATAACCTTTAAAGAATATTTGAGATATAATAAGGATGGCACAGAAGAGGGGCATTAGGCAAATATGTGGTATCCATAAAATAATAATTTTTCTAATTTGTGAAGGTTCAAAATGCATAGTACTAAAATACTGGAAACAACTATAGGAAGTGGAATAAGTCAAAGTGTTCTACGATCTTCTTTTTCTAAAGGGAGTTTAAGATGTTAAACTTGATTCAGTAGCCATGAATCAAGATTTCCAGTGATTTGAAGGTTAGAAAAAGAGAATTTAAATTTTAAAAATCAGGAAGATGAAATAATGAGGAAAAAGAAGACCAATTTATAAAACGAAGTTAAGAAAATAGAAGCAGAAGAAAAGTAGAAAAAAATGACATTATACAAAGAAACATTATAGAAAAAAAAAGAGAGCACTAATAAATTTATCTCAGCCCTCCACTTAAAAGCCCAGAACTGTCAGATTAACATTTAAAATAGCCAACTATGCTTTTTTTCACAATTCTGAAAGTCTGAAAAAGTAAGAAAAACAGAAACATAAAACAAGATAAATAATATCAAAAGGAAGCTATATTTGTGTCAGCAAAAATAAAGGTTAAGCGAAAGAGAGATTAGGAATATTGAGTGTCATTGCAGAATTTTTTAATTTTTTGATTCTACAGGAAGACACAGCAATTTTGAATTTAAAGTAAGTAGAATTCTTAATCTCTCCAAGCCTTTACTATTTTCCGAAGAAAGTTATGTGTTTTCTTATGTGTCCTTGAATATACTATCCATGGGACAATTGGAGCACCATTCCAGCATCAAAACTCCTGCTGTGATGGGCTGAACTTTGGTTTCAAAGCAGTACAGTTGAAGTTTTCCTTATCAGTTTCCCAGACTCTTCTTTGATATTGTTCCCAAGAGTACACCCAGTAAATATGTTGCATACAATCTAAGATCATCAGAGTCTGTTTCCAAAGGAATGCTATCTGTAACAGAAACTGATTGGGTCAATTAGACTATTCCAATATCTAATATGTGGTGCTCATAATAGGATGTTTCTTATCATGGCATAGACCACTGGTCTTCCTTCTGTCTGTTTTATACATGGTGGACTTTTGCCAAGGCAGTAGATTTTGTTCCAAATAAATACGGCCATGTTATCAGGGTCAATGACCTAAACATGTTTTTTGTGTGTGTGTTTTAATTTAAAAAGAAAATAGCTGTTGCCATGGTACTTGGGACTCTGAGACATACAGTGACCTATCACATGTAAACATTATCAAAGGCCTTGATTGTTAGAGAAGTACTCAATAATTGTTGGATATTATTAATATTGTTGCCCATTTCTACAATTTTAAATTGGAATTTTCATAGAACTTACACAGGTCCAACTTTCACAAACTAATAAGAGAACCATTTCAAATTTTCCAAGTGTTGAAATTGGCTCTTTTTCCTTTCTAGGCAATAAATCAAAGTGAAATTAAGGAGGATATAAACTGCCAATATCTGCAATTAAAGCCTTCTTTATCCTTGTGATTCCATTTAAGAATGGCATTTGCTTTTTTCCCGAGGGATAGTCTCATTTGATTAAGACACCAAAGACTTATTAATGAAAACTTCCTGTGAAAGTCTAACAGAGTTTGGCAATTTACCCAAAATATAAGTGCTGGGCTCTGAAAGTGTCCCAGTGTCTGAGAAAAGATTATGAATTCCTGCCTTTCCTTATGTATAGGGTTCGCTTACTGATGCCAGCTAACTTGGTGTCCAAAGCAGTTTTCTGAATTAGCTTCTAAGATAATGTCAAATCCTGATCCTGCTCTTATCACAATGCCAGCAAGACAACTATATCATTGTTCTGAAGATAAGTCTATAATACACTCACTCTTATGTTCTTATTCTTATGCAACTGTGAGGTTACTTGTTACCCAGTGTGAAGAGTTATCCTGCACACTATATATAACAACCTTATTTTTAAAAAACAGAGTTTTGAAGTACTTTACATTTCTTTGATTTGAGGCCATGTTATCAGCCCACAACTAAAAGTCTTTTCATATAATAATTTTAGATGAGCTGTTCTAGATCTTATTTCTATGGACATATTGTATATGCTATATCATTAAACTAATAGTAATAGAATAACATGTATTTTCAGACTTGGTCTCAAATATCAAGTTCACTTATATCTTGTATTAGTTTAGATTACAATCTAAGCTGCTGTTACAATTCAGAGGCCAAAAAAAGATATTTATTTACCTCTTATGAAAGGGTCCCAGAGCACTCCAGAACTGACCCTCCAATAAAAATACTATTTCTGTGCTACAGAAGAACTATGGAATTTGAGAATATGGGGCAATATCCAGATTCAGGGATAGGAAGCCTAAGTCTGGAAGCTTTTATGATCAGCACACATGCCCATCAAATTCCATAAAGGTATTTATTGGATAGTAAAATAAGGCCACGATCTCCCCTGAAATTGTTTCCAAAAACAGGAAGCTGAAGATAGGAATATGGAATGCTATTTCATAAAATGTGCCATTTCTGTGTCCATGTTTGTCATCATGTACATGACCAAGAAAAGACTAAGGTTTGTAACTTCCAAATTGTCTACCTGTGCTTAATTTGCAGAACGAAATTTACATCCAGAAAACTAATCACAAGGAAGTCTGAATTAACTACAAGGAATGTCATTGATAGTACCCCCATCCTTTACAGAACAGATTCGACACAGTGAAAAAGTAAATTTGAAGATTAGAGAGAGCCATTCTGCAGTTACCACCATT